TTTCGCCATGAAAAGCTACGTTTATCCATACGAAGAGCTGCTCGGATCACACAGTGTGTGTCTGGGGACCCATCTCCAGGCCTCCAGGTCACGGTGCCTCCTTGGAACTGGCTGACCCCGGGTCCGCGTAACCTCCCCGGGTCACAGCTCTGATGGGGCCACTTCCAGTCCCCAGGGCAGAGCTCCACTCAGGTTCGTCCTGAGGACGCACCGGGCCAGTTATGGGAGGCTGGTCTCTCCCGGCAGCTCCCCTCTGCACCTGCTCCTTCCCCCCTTTCCAATCCACCTCCTCCCATGGGCCCAGTCCCCTCCTCACACCAGGCCTGCAGCTGGCTTGGCTGCCTCTGAGTCAGGTGTCTACTCTGGGCTAAGGAGACAGCACAGGTAGCACGACAGGGCTGTGGGGTGACAGCTCTGCAGGTAAGGGAAGCTATGACTATTCTAAAGTCGAAGGGTAGTGATGGAGCAGACCTGGAAGGCAGAGGCGGGGCTGCCCCGCCCCCCAAGGGCTCCTGTCCCGTCATAGGCTTTGCGGAGTCAGCCGCCTGTCTCTGACATTTCTGTGGCGGCAGAAGGCAGTGAGCTGTCTCGTTCTAAGGGCACCAGCACATATGGCAGCCTTCCAACCGGTGGAAGTGAAATGTCGGAGGAAGGGGTGCCTGCCCAGTTTGCACAAAGGCCTGGGTGGAGGAGGTGGTTGGAGGGCCTGGAGGAGAGAGAAGGAAGAGCAAGGGGTGATTTCTGCGTTGTCAGGTCAGCGTCCGGACTGCGTGGCGACCCCAGGAACTAAGACGAGATGCGTTCCCAGAGGACGTGCGGGGCTGCGAGGGCCCTGCGTGTGGTTTACGTGGCGAGTTCTGATGTCTGTACCTGTTCTTCGTCCTTGGAGTCTTAGAACTTGACCCCCGGGTGCCCTCCTGCTGGGTTGCTGGCCAAACAGCCTTCCCTTCGCTGGGGCTCTTGGCAATCCACGGGCCACACGCAGGCTGGGAACGGGAGGAGCCCTCTCCAAACACAGCTCCGCAGCGGGCAGGCCTCCGTCCTCGGGGAGGTGGAGGTGGAGGGAGGAAGGGAGCTGCCCTGGTCGGCCAGGGTGCCGGGGTCTTTGGGGTCAACATCTACTAAAACCACTAACAACACAAGTTAGAAGCCCGGGGCTGGGCCGCCCAGGGAAGGCGAACTGTGTGCACATCCTGTCAGCACAATGCAGGATCCGGGGAGCACTCCGGGCCCTGGGCAGAGTGCTGGGGACATAAAAGTGGGGAACACGCTGTAGACAAGACCGGTGCCCCGGAGGTGCCTGCTGTCAGCGTTCATCCCAAAGCGCCACCACTTCCTGTGAAAGTTCTGCAACCTTCGCTCCCTCGACCTTAAGAGCGAGAAGAGGACGTGCCCCTCTCCTCCGCACCTTCAACACTTTGGCGTGCCCCTGGCGTTGTCTGTTGCCTCCTAGGCTTGAGTTTTTTGTGATTATACTTTCCCATGATTCTAGCCTTTACACGTTTGCCTGTTGCAGCAGCATCTGTAAAGCTGCCTCGAACCCAGTGTGGCCTCCAGTGAGAAGACGGGAAGAGGAAGGAAAGCAACAGGGAAGCCTGGCCGCTGCAGCGACGTGC